GGCACTCGGGGTTGCTCCCCAAATGAATGACGTAAGCTGAAAGAATACAAACACAAAATTTCGGGTTTATAAATTACTAAAAAAATTTAAATAATAATTAAATCATCTACTTTTAATATTTTCATCCATCACACGAAGCTCAATCGAGATATACGCATTTTCAACGATTGAGTTGACGTTAAGTTCTTCATTATTGACTTAGATAGCTTATAGACTAAGCTCAATGCTTGTCTTCTTCCTTTTATGACGCGTAGGAACCATTTACATTTTGTTCTTTCCTATAGGAATGGGTCAACCAAATTATTCCTTTCATATCTTTTCAATCATATCTATTTACTTTAAATATAACTTCTAAATAATAATAATTATAATGACAATAATTTTTAATAAGTTTGTTAAGGTACATACTTCAGACCAAATGTCGACACGTTACATTTAGATATCTCGATCACTTTATATTATTATTTTAAGATTTAAAAAAAATTAAAATCGGATTAGATTTAAAAATTTGTAGCATATTATTTATATACATGTATGTATGAACGCTTAGTCCATTGATTTGGATGAAAACTTTTGACTTTCGTATCTAAATTATTTGGAAATTTCAAAGTTTTACCAATTAAAACGTAACGTTCTTAGAATCTAACCAATGTTCATTTCTTTTGGTAAGGATCTTATTTACCTAATAGAATAGAGACGCTACACATGCATGACATGCTTAATATGTGTAAAAAAGTTTCTGAAAACATTTCATAAACGGTGTCATGGACTTAAATGTTCATGAGAGATTATTATTAAACAATAATGTTATCAACAACATAGTGGAAAAATAAATAACAAGAATTCAAATAAAAATAATGTTTCGACCTTACCTAGGGGCTATTAAAATAGACATGAATGTAGTTGCCTTAACTTTGGTTCTATGGCCTTTATCGCCACGCCGTCATTCGTAAGGGGTGTCATACATTTTACCTAAAAAAATAGGAGTAGCATGTGGCTTAAGTATTTTAAAAAATATTCAAAAGTAACTCCACTATTAGGGTCAAAAAATGCATACACAAGCAAACATGGTAGGACCTATTCTTTCATAAAAACATTTCATGGTCTTGATCTCTACTTTCCATTCGGGGCAAAAGTTTGATGTGTAATACTTCTCTAGACACGACCCATGCATGCATATATGGACCCACAAGGGGGGCGTATACATACCTCCTAGGTCTGCCCTTCATCTAGCATAAACTTATGTTGTCGGAGCCACGAAGAGAAGGAGTTTGCATAATATCATACATATCGTAATTTATGTGTTCGTACTTATCATAATAAATATCTTGATGCAGGTGACATAAAAAAATGCATGAGGTCCTATAACTTTAAATCATGACATAAATGTATGATGGAGTTCGTACCTTCGTTCTTTCATAAACATGTCTTTCATAAAAACAGCGTGGTGTAACAATATTTCATAATCCTGAAGTAATCATGTTAACATAGTGTGCATGACATGTTTGGTTATGGAGTCTGCTTCATATTTATAGTTTATTCAATTGTGGTAGATAGTAAAACAATATATGGAAAATGGTCTTCCCGAACCCCTTTTTGAGGTGAAGCCAGATACCATGACAACGGAGCATTGGAAGCTCAAGGATTGGCAGGCCTTAGGGTCAGAAACATAGTATTCGACATCATTAAAGAGAAGATAACGTCAGATCTGTTGAAGGCGCTGTCGAATATGTATGAAAAATCGTTGACTATGAACATGGTATTTTTGATATGGAGATTGTTCAATCTACAATTGTCTGAAGGTGAATCTATTGCTGATCATATAAATGAATTCAATAGGATTATAAATCAATTAAGTTTCGTGGAAATTAATTTCAAAATTGAAATTAAAACATTGATTTTGATGTTATCTTTACCTGAGTCTGGGATACTATTGTTGTTGCGATAAGCAATTCTCGAGGATCTAAGATACTGAAGTTTAATGAAACCCAAGATGTGGTTCTCACCAAAAGTATTCACAAACGAGAAATTAAATATTCATCTGGTAATGCTATTAGTGTTGACCAAATGGGAAAAAGTAAATCGAAAAGTCCAAACAAAAGTCTATAAAATCAAAGAATTGTGAAAAATTTTCAAACAAACCAATTTCTCGTTTGTGAAATTGGAGAAAAGAGTCACTTTCAGAAAAATTGCACAAGACCAAAGAGGAAACAAAATAAAAAATCTGAGGATGATAATGATTCTATAAATTCAACATAAGACATTGGGATACTCTAGTCCTCAACATGGACAGTCCAATTGAATCCTGGACTATCCATAAGACATTGAGGATACTCTCTTACTATACATAATTGAAGTCATTAATATAAACTTTTAGTAAATATTTCTTCTTGCGTTATCTCTGTCCTGTTTTTTGTGTTTATCTAATTCGAGCGTGTGTGTTGTTATGCAATCCTAACATGACATATCATTTAGAGGTATTATGCATCATGCGACATGGAAGTCACAACAAGATCCTTAACATAACATAAACACTTCATAACTTACAATATAACATATCATCATATAAGTCATAATATAACATTGCATAGCATATTATAACATAATACATGTCATAGAGTGTGAGATCTCACATCGTTTGGGGAGGAAAACGAAACACTCTTTACAAGGGTGTGAAAACTTAGGAGACGCATTTTAAAAACCTTATGGTAAGTCCGAAAGGGAAAACCCAAAAAGGACAATATTGACTAGTGGTGGATTTGGATTGTTACAAATGGTATCAGAGTTAGACATAGGGCAATGTGTTAGTGATGAGACTAAGTCCTAGAGGGGGGTGGACACGAAATGGTGTGCCAGCAAGGATGTTGGGCTCCGAAAGGGGTAGATTGGGGAGTCCTACATCGATTGGAGAAGGGAATGAGTGCCAACGAGGACGTTGGGCTCTAAAGGAGGTGGATTGTGAGATCACACATCGATTAGAGAGGATAACGAAACACTCTTTATAAGTAAGGGTGTGGAAATCTCTCCCTAGTAGACATGTTTTAAAAACCTTGAGAGAAGCCTGAAAGGGAAAACTTAAAGAGGACAATATCTGCTAGCGGTGGGCTTGCTATACATAGAATCATAAAATATGAAATATGAAGGGCGTTCATATGTCATTCAATTCATCCAACCAAACCAAAAGTAAGGTCAATTACTTGACTAGTCTAAGACGGAGTTACTATCTTTGGATCTAACTTGGATATGCTTGTGTAAGTCCTATTCTACTTATATGGGCCTACAACATTGAGTTAATGTATAATGTACAATTCAAATCATCCAACGGTATCAACAAAATATACTTATTTACCTGGGATGGACACGCAGGTTGTGCGTAGAATGGGCTGGACATGCGACTGGGTTCTCCGAACCTACATTGCTTCGAGTTTAGATTTGTAGTTTGTAAGAAGGCTTGCCAAGGCTTAGGTTCAGTTTTTGGATTGGATCCAAAACTCTAGTGCATCAATGAATGTACAAATTCGATCTTAAATTAAGAGAAATTATAATAAGCGACAAAATGGGTTGATTGATAAATTTTAAATTTTTCTTAAAATATTTATAAAAAATTAAAAACTAAAATTAAATCATGAAATTATGCCTCAATTATTGGCTGACATACAAATTTATATATTCATGTTGCAACTTGTTATGCTCATGTGACATTCAAAATCTTGTCCCATTATATATATATAACCAAATATTCTTTGCATCCACGTTTATTTAAATAAAATAATAAATAATGATAAATAAGTGAGCTTTAAAATAGAGCAAAAAATAAATTATTATGGGTGGTAAATTCAAAATCAATAAACATTATAATTTAATAAATAATGTTTTTAATTTTTGGTAAATTTAATGTAAAATGATGGATAAGAACAAGACATGGGAAAGGAAGAGAACAGAAGAAAGTCAACGGAATCATGCTGGCTCGGCTCGGCTCGGCTCGGCTTAGCCTATTCAACCATTATTTTTTCTTTGCCGTAGTTGGGACGTTTGGAAAAGTCCAATCTTTTGACCTAATCACAATCAAATGTCCCATTTTTTATTCTTAGGTTTCATATTTTCCCCCACATATTTTATTCAAAAATAAATAAATAAATAAATAATATTTTTTCTTTTTTCGATCTTGTTTGTTATATAATATTAGCGACAAAACATTTTAATTTATTATTATAATTACAGACGTATTTCTAATATTTTAATCAAAATTACAAAACTAATCGAGTACTAAATATATTATCATAAATAAACATGCTAGAACTCCTTTGACTTATGACCCACACAGATTTTCTCGAGGTTAATTTTCTTATAATTCTAACTCGTGACAGTGAAAAATCAAACTTTTAACTGACTTATTCAAGTTTACCTTCTAGAAGGAGTGGAGAGGAAATTTGCATGTTATACATAAGTTCTGTATTTATAAACCTAACAAATTAGAACATGAGTCGTGTGACAATATTAGTATTTAATAAACTTCAAAGTTTGATTTTCTTTATTTTCTTATGATATTTATGGCAACTTGTTGACCATAACATGAATTAATCAAGGTTGTAATTCTATAACAAGTTTAGAAGAAAGGGTTTTTAGGTAATTTCACATAAATGGAAAATATAATTAAATCTTTCTTTCTAAATAATTTTTTTAGCATTTAAGAGTGACAATTCTATTAAATACCCATAACTTAGTTTAATCATAGAAATTGAGTTTCCGTGAGTGAAAATAAAACATATTGGAAGGACTAGTGTTGGTATTAGTCTGTGCAGATAGTTTTCACTCTTAGAAAGAGGTGTGATATTTATTTTTATTTATTTATTTATTTAAATAAATAAAAAGAGTTCAAGAGTCGGCAGGGCAATGGTCAAATGAGAAGACCAAACAGATAGGATGAATGGAAGTGTTTTTTATTTATTTATTTATTTATTTATTTATTTATTTATTTTTTATATTAATGCGTTAATTCCTCATTTAATCAATTCTATTCCCAGTACCCTTTTCTTCTCCGTCCACCTCCTTCCATGGCGATGGAGCTTCTCTCAGCCTACACCAACGCCCATCTCTCCGCCGCAATGGACCAAGACTCCGCCGTCCATGAAGCCGCCTCCGGTATCCACACTCTCAAAAAGCTCATCTCATTACTCTCCCACTCCCCCCCTTCTAACCTCGACTCCGATTGCCAAGCCGTTGCTAACGCCGCCGTCTCCCATTTCAAAAAGGCCATTTCTCTCCTCGGACACTCCCCTCGTACCGGCCACGCTCGATTCCGCCGCGCCCCTTTAGATTCCTCTCAAATTTACAACGCTACCCCCATTCAGCAAATCCCTCCGCCGCCCCTCGAATCTGCCACCACCATTAATTTCTCTCATTCCTCGTTTCCCGCCGCCGACTCTGAAATTAACCTTCGACACCAACCCTCTTCCTCTTCTTTCCAAATCACTGATCTCTCCAGGGTTTCCTCTGTTGTCTCTAAGCCCTCTTCTGGCTCCAAGAGAAAGTGCGGCTCTGAAAATTTGGGCTCTGGGAAGTGCGGCGAATCCTCCGGTGGTCGATGCCATTGCTCCAAGAAGAGGTACAATTCTGAACTTAAAATCTATTAATTCTTCGGATCTGATACTAACATGATGAATCATGGCTTAACTTAGCCAAGAACTTTAGATTTCTAGGGTTTTGTATGAATTTCAAGTAGCTATCTGTTTAATCTTCAATGGATATGAACTAAACAAACAAACCCCATGTTTTGTTATGCAATGAATAGCAGAAAATTGAAGTTAAAAAGAGTGGTGAGAGTTCCAGCTATTAGCTCAAAGAACGCTGATATTCCTCCTGATGATTATTCATGGAGGAAATATGGACAGAAGCCAATAAAGGGTTCTCCATATCCAAGGTAATGATCATAGAACATTCATTAAATTCACTCAAAGTTGCTGAAATTCATCAAGTTCTTGGAGATTAATAATGGGGGGTTTGTGATTTGCAGAGGTTACTATAAATGCAGCAGTTTAAGAGGATGCCCTGCTAGAAAACATGTGGAGAGAGCTTCAGATGATCCATCTATGTTAATAGTGACATATGAAGGCGATCATAATCACTCTCAATCAGTGGCAGAGGCCTCAAGTCTCATCCTTGAATCATGGTGAACACAAAGAACAGAATCACAACCAAAAAAATCACTCTGTTTTTCTTTTGATTCATACAGAAATAGAAATAGTTATTTGTTTACATCATAGTTCTTAGTTCTTGTGAGAAACTCTCCAAAAATGAATTTTTTTTTTTTTTTTTTTTTTTTTTTTTTTTTTTTTTTTTTTTTTTTTTTTTTTTT